GGGGGGGGGGGGCTGCCTTCGGCAACCCCATGTCGGGGCTTACACATGGAAAAGGGGCTAGCTACGCACCTGCATAATATAGACATCCATCATCACACAGCCTATAGCATAATATAGACATCCACCATCACAGCCTATATCATAATATAGACATCCATCACCACAGCCTATATCATAATATAGACATCCACCATCACACAGCCTATAGCATAACATATACATCCCCCATCACAGCCTATATCATTATATAGACGTCCACCATCACAGCCTATATCATAATATAGACATCCACCATCACACAGCCTATAGCATAATATAGACATCCACCATCACAGCCTATATCGTATTCATAAACAGAAGAACGTTTTAGTCCAGTGCATAATATAGACATCCACCATCACAGCCTATGTCATAATATAGACATCCACCATCACAGCCTATATCATTATATAGACATCCACCATCACAGCCTATATCATAATATAGACATTCACCATCACAGCCTATAGCACAACATGATTAAAATGATATCACTTGAATTGAATAAAGTGTAAAATAGAATCCACATGACATGATGTTTTTAACTCGGTCTTCAGTTTACATCAAACCATGTTTTTGCAAATCTTTTACGAAAAATATATGTATTTCAAGACACGTTACGAGAACATATCTGATTTCAGCTTGTTTGCTTGTTGAGGTGAATATGTGGTATATGATCCTTAGAAAGATATAGTAACCGAGGTAAAGTCGAGGTCAATATATAACTTTTCTGGTCCATATAACCACATACTTACTTAATTAAAAGTCCTAAATTGTTGTGTTAAATATAAAACTATGACGCAGTATCATTATAATTAAAACTAGATGGAACGTAAAATAAGAAAACAGCCAAGAGGAAAGTGCTGCATTTGGCAGCGAACATTGTGACGTAACAATTGAGGAGACGTCACTTTAAGGATATATAATATATATTTTAACCTCTTTTTTCTTCACAATCGTACTTTCCTGTGTACAGTTTTCATACGTTCCATTTTGTTTAATGATTAAATCATTATTTAGCATCAAATATAATAATTAAAGACTTTTATTTCGGTAAACATGTGGTTGTATGGACCTGGGATATCGACTTCGTCTCGGTTAATATCACTTTCTCAGGTCAATTCCCCTTGAATTTAAAAGATACGTTAAAATTATGAAATATTGGTTAAAAATTGTTCATAAACAGAAGAACGTTTTAGTCCAGTCAGTCTATGGTGAGCTTTATACACGAGCGGAAAAGTCACGTGTGACAAATTGGGCAAAGTTGTGAAAAATTTATTATGTACTTGTGGTTTCGGATAGGTATGGATTGAACAAGGAGTTGGAGATGAAAAAGTATTTTTAGAATTATTTCAGACCAGAGTGAGGGATATTTTTATACAGGATTGGCATAGTGCTCTTGTTGACTCGCCAAGAGCAAGATGTTATATACGTTTATCAAATGAATTTGGTTATAAGAAATATCTTGATGTAGTAAACGTTAAAAAATTTAGAAAATCTTTAACAGCGCTTCGCATATCTGCCCATAGATTAAATATAGAAACAGGGAGATGGCATAGACCTAACCCAATACCTGCAGAAATGCGATATTGTAGTGCGTGTACTAAAATTGAAGATGAATATCATTTTGTTATGGAATGCCCGTTATACTCTGAAATTAGATCAAAATTTTTGAGAAAAAAATATTACTGTAGACCAAATATGGACAAATTTGTTGAACTTGTTTCTTCAGAAAACAATTTTATTATTAGAAATTTAGCTATGTTTATTTACAAAGCAAATGAAATTAGACATGGAATTTTGTTTAATTTGTAAATCAAATTAATTCCTTGCATCCTTCGCTTCGCATTAATTTTTTGTTAAAGTCTATTGCATCCTGTGTTCATGCTTACTATTGTGAATGAATATGTTCCTTGTAAATGTGTGTTATTTTGCTGCTATAAAATTCATGTAAACATGTATTTATTATTGCCATTATGTCATTGCCATGTTTTAAATGTGTGTAAAGCACAAAGGCATTGTTGCCTATTGCAAATTAAATAAAGACATTTAAAGTTATAACCACATGTTTACCTCGTTATAAACCCATAATTGAAAATAGCCTCCTTATACTGTATCGATATCAGATTACTTATTACTATTGATAAATATATCAAGCAAAAATATGTCACCGTCTGCTGTTCTAGTGTCAGTATTACAGTTTTAGCCACTCCGGGTTTTTTTATCCAAAGGACGTTTCGACTTCACATAAATCAAATGCCTGTTTCACCGGAATGTGTTTGTTTCTTTTGTAACCTTTAGTGGCGTAAGCAAGTAATTTTTAGAGTGCATATGCTAGCAGAGGGTGGAGCATCCAAGGCGCGTAGCGTCGGAGGAGGGGATCGAGTTCTCCTCTAGCTATTACAGTGGCGGATCCAGAGGGATTTTTGGGGCTTTAGGAAATCCCCCTACCCTGAGAATTTTCTTTTAAAATCATGTATTTTCACCAATTTCCTCAATTTTCCCCACTTGGACCCCCCCCCCCCCCCCCNTAGGTCTCTGGATCCGCCACTGCTATAGCATTCTACTAGGCCCTATATATGGAAGCAGAGACGTATAATACATGTATTATACGTCTCTGATGGAAGCAATCTCTCGTATATTATATTAACAAATAAATCACAACTTTTTATATGAATAATATTAAATGTTGTACTTTACTAACTAGTTTTTGATTTAGAATTCTACATAAAGCTCTGAGATTTTTCAATGTTTTTATCAAGCTAAAATTTCCAAAAGATTTTTTATATTCGTCCCTTTTTTACGGTCCATATAAAATCATTATAAAAGAAATTAATAAATATTATATATATGATTAAAAAAAATCTTGAAAATGTTAGTGTATGCTTGAGCATACAAGCATACATGTATGCTACGTCACTGAACCTGTAACCTGTAACTTTTCAACAAAGACATTCTATATTTCGTCTAAACTGTCCGCATTGCCTAGCGTATTCCAGTTGACTAGTTCAAGATCGTTACGTAAACCAGAGACGTATATATATACTACATGTCTCTGCGTAAACTAGTGTAATTCCCTTAGTGAAAGTTTCGACTGACTCGTTATCCTTTTTGATTATATCATGAAATAAGATTAGAAGTCCGTGAGTATATACATATGTACTAAAGTCACGGAATTAGATTAGATCTAAGTCCATGCTAAAGTGCACCATGAATAAAAATAGAAATTAATTTAAATTATTCTACATATTATATACTTGTAATCCTAAAACAAAAATGTCGAAAACCGCATGAAAATGTTAAATCTGTCAGCCCAATTCCGAGATAATGACGTTTAAAAGTGTACGATTTTCACCTGTCCTAGCTGCTACTAATCATTAGCGTAATCGTAAATTCCGGTGAATGTGTTTTTTAGAAAAATCGCAATATCTCGGAAACGAAGGCCGTCATGACATTCGCACTTTCTTTAGCATTTTCTTTAATAAAATAAAGTATTTTCGTAGTGTAATTTAGCATATAAATTAATCATTCATGGTACACTTAATCACATATACATGTATATACGTCTCTGACTTAATGAAGTTTATATTTTAATAAAAATAGCTGACGTATCTTATTTTACCTCGCTAAATGCTTTTAATTTATTTCATTTTGTCATCACCTTTATCGTGCACACTGAGATTATCGGCCAAGAGTTTTTCCCTGAGCTACAGATCAGTTCCTGTACTCATATTGGAACTTGAGCAAGTCTAGCTATTTCATACACACATAAATAGTGAGCATGCGCAAACATTACAAGGAGATCCGGTGTTATCTCTAGGTATGGTGAAGTCTATGGCTTGAAATCACAACTGCAGGTAATTGTACAGATATTTATTAAATTCTCAATGTTTATCACCGTGAATTTTCCGTCTCATGCTTCCTTCAATGTGTTTAACGGGAATCGTAATTCTACAGCGACAACTTGTTTTGAACAGGAAGTCTGCTGACAAAGTGAGGGCATATCGAAAGTACAAATGCACCTAGACTTTGGAATTCTGTTTTTGATTAACATGTACATTTTCAAAGGTGAAAGAGTTCGACTTTCTAGCTGTAATGCATGACAAAATTGGGGAGTTAAGTTATAAAAGTAAAATTGCTTTTAAAACAGTTGAAAATATATACATTGTTTGAGGGTTAGTTTCGGAGCCCCAGATGAGGAAATTAAATAGATTAGAGGCCGGCTACAGCCACAGGTGCTCGGGTTCTGGAATATATATGATATTTTATCACACCCCACTAGATATCGCACCCCCTTATACTAATAAATCATATTAGTATAAGGGGGTGCGATATATCAAAGCGGGATGCGATAGTATATCACAATTTCACAAATATTCCAGAACCCGATCGCGAGCACCTGTGGTTACAGTGCGCAGTGTCCATCACCGGTTTACCAACACCGTTCTTTTCTTTCACCACAGAGGTTCGTTACAAATGTCTCAAATACACATATGCTGTACTGATATTGGTCACAGCACATAATATCAGTAATTCATATGCATCTGTATGTGTGTTTCTGACATTTGTAACAATTAAACCCCTGTGTTTTCTCCAGGGAATGTGCTTGCAATCGCTTGCTATACTCTAAAATAACAACTTAAATCATCATTTCATCTTCATTGCATGTCCAGTCATAAAAACATGTACAAAATGTATGTATATACAGGCTTTTTAGATTACTTGCCGTTCGAGCAGGTGAGCTTATGCCATGGCGCAGCGGTCCGTCCATCAACTCACAGGGTCACGTTACAAATGTCTGAAATACACATATGCTATACTGATCCGGGTCACAACACACATATTTATGTGTGTTGTGACCCGTATCAGTATAGCATATGTGTATTTCAGACATTAGTAACGTGACCCTGTGGTCAACTTTAAAACGCTACTAGTCCTGAACAGCTTAGTGGATTTTAACAAAATTTGGTCTGGAACATCCTTCGGCCAAGGGCACTCAATTTGTATAAACAGTGGGTGTGGCCCCCCTGGGGGCAGAGGGGTGGGTCCCAATAGGGGAAATAGAGGTAAAACCTTTTAAATTGTTCTTCTACCATAGGGGATTAAGCGATTCCATCCCAATTTGGTTTGGAGCATCCTTCACGGCCAAGGGACTCAATTTTGTATAAACGGTGGGTTTAATTTGGACCCTCTGTGGGCAGAGGGGCAGGGCCCAATAGGGGAAATAGAGGTAAAACCTTTAAAATCCTTTTGCTACCGTAGGGATAAAGGGATTTTGTCCTTATTTAGTCTGAAGCATCCATGGTCCAAGGGGACTCAATTTTGTATAAACGGTGGGTGTGGACCCCCTGGGGGCAAAAGGGTGGGGCCAATTAGGAGAAATAGAGGTAAAACCTTTAAAAATATTCTTAGGCTGGATACACATCTTATATACATTACCTGAAGTAATCATTCTACTCTCTGAATGTAATACTACCATCAATGCTTTCATGTTAAAATCTATTTCTCTTCATATATATACATTACTATCTATGATATCTAGTTTATTTACTTTATTCACTTTGGCTTGTATATATAGCCCCATATACGGTGGTCAATTTGAAGCATCTAAATGAACAGCGAGAAACAAAAATTATAGATGATCCATGCCCTCCTCTTGTACTCTCGCCCTACATTTGTAGCTGTGACCAGCAACCCCCGCTGGACAGATGTGGCCAGCAACCCCCGCTGGACACTTGTCATGTACCTATGGCACATATATTTTCCCCCATTTCAAAAAAAGGATACTAACTTTTTATTCCTGCATTAATCCCTGCCAGTTTAATTTAGTACCAGGCTATTTGTAGCGGATACAGAAATATCTGTGACACTGCACTATGCTTCAAAATTATTGAAAGGAATTGGGATTTGGGGGGGGGGGGGGGGGGGGGGGGGGCGCGATTCAAATATGATATTGACCAATACTTGCCGACTCTCACTATTTGGGAGGGAAACTCCTGATTTTGGACCCAACCATTGAGCATGTTTCAACTAGTGAATTTGCTAAACTTATATATAATGTTACTAGGGTTTACTAAGGACAATGATGAATTTAGATAGTGAATTTGTGGGGTGGCTGTAGAATAGTCAGACCAACTCAACCATTTCTAAACATTTTCTTCAGGTTGGTAAGTATGGGTTATGAAAAGTTCTTGTTACACAACCAATAAGTGTTTCTATGTGATGTTTCCATACCTAAGTACGGTAGGTACTCTGTCACCTTCATCAGACAAATGACCAGTGAAGCGTATGCACACAAAGGTGTAAAATGTGTACGAGTTGTCCACAAAATCGATGTTAATTCGGCTACGCTGTAAGGGTATGAAATAAAGTTGTTATATATACCGTATTTTACCGGCAATAAGCCCCCCCCCCCCCCCCCCCCCCCAAAAAAAAAAAAAAGGGGGGAGGGGGGGGGGGGGGGGGGGGGGGGGGCTTAATTGCGAGCAACCCCCCTGTTCACATAATTTCAACATGGTCCGCCATCTTGGATTGTATCTATCCAAAATGACTCGATTCAGATACGCTTTGTTTAATACTTGGTCACAGATGTGCGAGAGTTCTAAGTTGAGATGAGGGGGCTTATAGACTCTTGCACATCAACCTTCTTCCAAAAAATATAAAATTCAGAATGCAAAAAATCTGGTCTTTTTTTATACCAGTTGGTGATCATTTAGGTTTACAATCATTAAAATGGCTGAGTCTTCTTTATTTGAAGAGATACCCTGACTATGTCCTATTCTTTTGGATCAGTGGATATTATGAAGGATGTTAATTGTGTATGACCAGAGTGTTTAATTAGTTCTTTTATTCCTTGATTAATATGACTTCAGTGATTGTAAGGTCTTCATTGTTAAATACCATGGGGGTGGGGGGGAGATTGTTCTTTTTTAAAAGTCAAATATTCTCTTTTGTAGATGAAACAGTCCTATCTAAGCAATGGCTGATGCAAAGAAAAAGAGTGCCTGTCCTAACTTATTTGTTGCTGCCATTGACTTTGGCACAACATATTCAGGCTATGCTTTCTCTGGGAAAGACGACTTCGAGAAGGATCCTCTGAAAATCAGCGCCAACCATTGGAATGCTGGCGCCAGGTCTCTCATATCCCACAAGGCCCCAACATGTTTACTGTTAAAACCGGATAAAACATTCCAGTCGTTTGGATACAAGGCAGAAAATGATTTCACCCTTCTTGCAGAGGATAATGACGATGATGATGATGATGATGATGATGATGAGGAGAAAGTGAAGGAAGATTTTAAAACATATTACTATTTTCATCGTTTTAAAATGATACTTCACAACAACAAGGTTTGTTCAGTATTATTAGCTCACTTGGTGAGCTTATGCCATACCGCAGCGTCCGTCGTCCGTCCTTCAGTCAACTTTAGCTTTAAAACGCTACTAGTTCTGAACGGCTAAGTAGATTTTGACTAAATTTGGTTTGGAGCATCCTTAGGTCAAGGAGACTTAATTTTGTATAAACAGTGGGTGTTCCCCCCCTGGGGGCAGAGGGGCGGTGCCAAACAATGGAAATAGAGGTAAAACCTTTAAAATCCTTTTTCTACCGTAGTGATTATTGGATTTTATTCTAATTTAGTCTGGAGCATCATTGGGCCAAGGGAACACAATTTTGTTTAAACGGTGGGCGTAGCCCTCTTGGGGGCAGTGGGGCGGGGCCAAATAAGGGTAATAGAGGTAAAACCTTTAAAATCCTTTTTCTACGATAAGGAGTAAGGGATTTTATCCTAAATTAATTTGGAGCATCCTTGGGCCAAAGGGACACAATTTTGTATAAACGGTGGGTGTGGCCCCCCTGGGAGCAGAGGGACGGGGCCAAACAATGGAAATAGAAGTAAAACCTTTAAAAACCTTATCCTACAATAGGGATGAAGGGATTTCATTCTAATTAAGTCTGGAGAATCCTGGTCAAGGGGACTCAATTTTGAATTAATGGTGGGTGTGACTCCCCTGGGGGCAGAGGGGCGGGCAAAATAAGGGAAACAGAGGTAAAACCTTTAAAATCCTTCTTTTAACGTAGGGATTAGGGGATTTTATCCTAATTTAATCCAGAGCATCCTTGGGCAAAGGGGACTCATTTTTAGCTCACCTGGCACGAAGTGCCAAGTGAGCTTATGCCGTGGCGCGGCGTCCGTGGTCCGTCCATCATCCGTCCGTCCGTCCATCCGTCCGTCCTCGTCCGTCAACTTTTCCTTTAAACAACTTCTTCTGAAGAACTAAAAGGTATAGAATCTTCATATTTGGCTGATGGCTTCCTGGGATAGAGCCCAACAAAGTTTGAGAATGAAAATGACCTTGACCTACTTTCAAGGTCACAGGGGTCAAATGTGTCAAACACTTCAAACGACTTCTTCTGAAGAACTGAAAGGTATATAATCTCTATATTTGGCTTGTAGCTTCCTAGGAAAGAGCCGAACAAAGTTTGAGAATGAAAATGACCTTGACCTTCTTTTAAGGTCACATGAGGCAGATATGTCAAACACTTTAAACGACTTCTTCTGAAGAACTGGTAGTTATAAAATCTTAATATTTGGCAGGTGGCTTCCTGGGAAAGAGCCAAACAAAGTTTGCGAATGAAAATGACCTTGACCTACTTTCAAGGTCACAGCGTTCAAATATGTCAAACAGTTCAAACAGCTTCTTCTGAAGAATTAAAAGGCATAAAATTATAATATTTGGCTGGTGACTTCCCGGGATAGAGCTCACCAAAGTTTGCAAATGAAAATGACCTCAACCTACTTTAGAGGTCACAGAGGTCAACAACATTTTAATGGATTTGTTCTTGAGAACTAAAAGGAATGGATTCATAAGATTTGGCTGGTAGCTTTTTGGAATAGAGCTAACCAATTTGAGAAGGAAAATGACATTGACCTACTTACAAGATCACAGGGAAAAATATGTCAGCAACTTCTGAAGAAGAATCAAAAAGCATAGAATCTTATAATAATATTTTGCTGGTAGTTTCAACAGATGGAGCCAACAAAGTTTGCGAGGGAAATATTTTTAGTGCAATATAATATTTAATGAGAATATTTTGCTATGACTGCTTAAATATTCAGGTGAGTGATACAGGCCCTCTTGGGCCTCTTGTTGTATTAAAAATGGGTGTTGCCCCCTTGGGGACAGAGGGGCGGGGCCAAATAATGGAAACAGAGGTAAAACCTTTAAAATCCTTCCTCTACTGTAAGGATTAATGGATTTATCCTTATTAAGTCTGGAGCATACTTGGGCAAAGGGGACTCAATTTTGAAAAAACTGTGGGTGTGGCCCCCTTTGGGGCAGAGGGGTGGGGCCGAATAGGAGAAATAGAGGTAAAACCTTTAAAATCCTTCTAGTCTGGAGCATCCTTGCATCTTGGTCTTGGTGTGGCCCCCCTGGGGGCAGAGGGGCAGGGTCCAATAGGGGAAACAGCAAATTCTTCAAAATCCTTGTCCTTCTGTAGGAATGACAGGATTTTGTCGACATTTGGTATGAAGTATCCGTGTATGAAGGGGAACCAAAAATAATTATGTAATTGATGTACATGTACACTACCAGCAACATCTAGCTATTCCAACTTCAATTTTACAAACATTTCCAGGTGAGCGATACAGGCCCTCTGGACCTCTTGTTAATTTCCACAAGCGATAAAAAAAAATCTAAATTGGTTTACCGAAGTAGTCCTCAAATACATGAGAGAAAACACCTGTTATATATACTAAGCCCAACTTTCCTCTGGCCCTGACACAAAACTTAGACATTTTCACAGACATTTATCTGTGAAAATGTCTAAGTCTAGTGTCAGGGCCAGAGGAAACTCGGGCTATTGTTATACAATTTCTGATCATGTATTTTACTGAATTTCATGAGGGGAATTAGTATGTTTATCATGAGAAAGAAGAATTAATATAATCTGTGCTCTTGTTTATACCATTTTGTTGTGAACTGGACTGAGTTGATTACCTTAACTTTGAGCAGGTAGTTCAGTAGGTCGGAGTGCTTAAGCCTCCATCTAGAGTCAAAAGGTCCAGGGTTCAAATCCCATGTCTGGCAGTTGCATTTTCCTGTCCTATATTTAAGATACAATCTTTGGATGATTTAATCGTAGTGCTGCATATCTTTAGTATTAAAACACATCAGAGAGTATAGTTCAAAGCTCCCAGCTTGTTTCCTAATTTCCATCAATATGTTCATAAGTTTTAAAAAGTTGATAAAGACAATATTGTAAGCTAATACCTGTGTTTAATCAAATATACAATAGTACTGTCACTGCTTAAATTGTGCTCATGGACATGTACTGAGATTTTACCCATAAAAGAACTTGGCAGTAAAGTAAACATTGAATTTGTCACTATAGGACCTATCCAGAAGTACACAAATCGAGGATGAGACTGGCAAGTCACTTCCCGCAGTAGAAGTGTTCACCCATTCCATCAGGTACCTGAAAGATCATTTGTTTACAAGCCTGGTTGATTCCTTCAATGGTATCACTGAACAAGACATAAAGTATGTGGTCACAGTGCCAGCTATCTGGAACGACAATGCCAAACAGTTCATGCGACTAGCAGCTACACTGGTAAGCACTATAGTTCTTCCATTGAAAAAGAATTTTAACAAATGGCAATCGCAGTTGAAATTATTTCTTGTTGAATCATTTTGATATTGTGTGAAAATGGAAGACCGTGTATGTTTTGTAGGGCTGTTACAATATATCGGAAAACAGGTATATCGCAATGCATGGGTATATTGTATCGTACCACAATACAGAGATGAAATATTGCTGTATCGCAATATTTTTCAAAAGCATATTTTTATGTATCTGCTTGGTGTTTTAACTTTGCAAAATTACAACAAATTCTAACAGATATATGCCAATATGCATAAAGCAGGCTTTTAATAGTTCAAATTTTGTAATCGATGGTTGGTTTGACAAAAAAACTCAAATCTATGTAATCCATATTATATATGATTAAGTTTGATAACATTCCGACAACAACTTATTATAGAATTGAGCACATCCTTCCTATGACACTATATCGGGATACGTATCACAATATATTCATTCTATATTGCAATGTATCGTGATACACTCTTGGCGTATTGTGACACCCCTAATGTTTTGCTTGAAAGTTGAAATAATTGTACATGACATTCACAACTTTAATCACATTTGCTAGGCGGGGATATCAGCTGACAATTTGTCTATTGCCCTGGAGCCTGAGGCTGCATCTCTCTACTGTCAGCACCACTCCATTGTTGGCGAAGACGGTGAAAAAGAACTGTTGAAGAAGACTGCAAGATCTGGTGATGCATACATGGTAGTTGACCTGGGAGGCAAGTATACTAGCTCAATTGACTGGGGTTTGGTTTGGTTTAACTTAATTTGTTTAACTTCCTATTAATTACAGCTAAGGTCATTTAAGGTCGTGGATTGACTGGGGACTTGTGTAAAAAAACCAATTAAAGTAGTACCAATAACACTAGATATCTCGACACAAACTATAAAAGAAAATATCCTCCCATTTTTTGTGCTGAGATTTATCATGCAGACTTTATGGATAAAATCTCTTGAAACTCTGAGTAAACTCCTTAGTGTTGAACCTGCACAAAGAAGATAGCCACCTTATAATCAGTTTGGATTCCGATTGTTTGTGACAAAATGGACTTGTCAAATCTTTGCAGATTTACTAAAAAGTTCAGCTTTAGACCAGATAAAAAAAACAAGATGGTCACCTTGGATTCTTAATATATATAGGTGGGATGCATTTCTGGGTCAAATTGGTTCTCATATTGCAGTTATCGCCTCTTCATAAATTGGTTTAATGTTTTCAATAATATTTTATGTATTAAACTATATTGAGGGAACCCAGAAGGCATCGTAGATGGACCTCCATATATACTGTATTCTTTGATATAATGAGAGACATAAATAGCTAAACAGATTCTACTTTTGCCACACTTCTGCCTTAAAAATATAAAGCTATGGCCTGCTAAATTGTTCTTTTTTGATACTTTCAAACTTCTGTTTAGCAGGCCGGTGCAGCTTTGGATATCAGTTCAGACTTTATATATCTAAGGTCAAATATATTTGATAGCTTTCAAAAAATAGATCCCTGGTATTCTCAGATATATCCATTTCCAAGTATGTATATATCGATGATTCGATATACACATGGAATGCCACAATGGTACCTTGTATTTGTCCGATTTTATGTAAGACATTCACTGTTTGTACTCTAAGATGTAATTCATGGACTGCATAATTTCCTTCTTGGTCGATTATTTAAGACATATATATTACCTCTTTGTGAGGCGATACTTGATTTCAGCAAGTGTTTAACTTTTAACTGGATATTTCAATGAAATAAAAAAATAAAATACAATTTTTCCACTTTTAATAACATAAAAAAGAAATATTTTTATTTTATTAAACAATCTTCTTTGTAAAACTATAATCACTGGTGGACATTTAAATATAGTCACTTCCGGGTTTTGACAGCTGAAAAATGTCAGAAATACACAGTGAATAAAAACCTTCGAATATGCAATCAAACGAAGCAGATTATACTTTACTGGTCACAGGTCCGCTCTCCTCAGTTCTGAATTTATAATGACTGTTTTGCGTATAGAAAAATCTTTGACATAATCTCTTAACATTTAGAAGATAATATTATTATACATTTATGTTTTTGCTCAAATGCAGTTCTCTAAATAATAAAACTAACCATAATATTTTATTATATCATCAGCAAATCCTTATATGATTATATACTGTATAGCGCTTTAAATTTGCGGGGTCAATATTTCGCGGTTTCGTATTTAGTACATATCGCGGAGGTTAAATTTCGCTGTGCATGTGAATCCCATGTGTTGTGCAAAGTATTCTGAGTGTCATCGTTTTAGGGTTAAACCTCGAAATACAGGTAAACCGTTTGACTTCACTCGAAAGAAAATTAAATGTGTATGTAAGAGTAAACTGTAATCAATTAACTCATTTACCCCTGAAGACACATTTAAACTCTTCCAATTCAAAGGTTGGAATAGTTCATTATGAAATTTCAGGGGTGAATGAGTTAATCACCTACTGTGTATATACACATGAATATGTGGTGACCACTTATATGTTAGTGTTGTTTATTTTTACATGGTCTGTCCAGTTGTCCGATGATAATCTAAAAATTTCATTTCATTTAAGCTTGCATAACAGCGTTGGGTTATAAGTATTTTCAACATGCTGTGATAAGGTCCGTTAAAGTGATAAACATTTTTCGATAATTTCGCTGGTGTTTAGAATTCGCGGATATTAGTCAGAGTGGGAATAAAGCAAAATTTAAACCCCTGCGAAATATATAACCACTATACAGTAATCGTTAGATCTTTGGAATAAAACGGTACATAGCCCTGCCCTTGATTTTTGCCTATATATGTGTTGCCTTTTCCAGGAGGGACTGCTGACATCACTGTACACGAAAAACAAATCGATGGTTCTTTGAAGGAGCTGCTTGCTGCAACGGGTGGTGCATTTGGGGGTAAAAACGTGGACGATGCGTTTAAGTCATTTTTGGAAGACATTGTTGGGAAAGATATAATGAAAAAGTTCAAAAACAATTGTATGGAGGATTACATTGACATTTTTAGGGAATTTGAAACAAAGAAAAGATCCGTTACTGAAGATAGTGTTAGCAAAGTTAGCATGACCATGCCAGTAACTTTAAGTGATTTGGTGAAAAGGAGCTCGACCAAAGGAAAGAAAGTAATCTTGAAGGAGGTGGTGGAAAATTCAAAATATGGAAATGAGGTCGGGTTTGCCAAACAAAAAATACACATTTCTCACGCACAATTTGTGCAGCTTTTCAAACCAACCGTTGACGGTATATTGAAACACATGGAAGGTATTTTGTACCAGAGCAACTTCTGCCATGTGAAAAACATTTTGATGGTTGGTGGATTCTCTGAATGTGAACTCCTGCAAAATGCGATTAAGAATAGACTTACGCAAAAAAGAATCATCATACCCGAAGACGCTGGTCTGGCGGTCCTGAAAGGTGCCGTACTTTTTGGTCACATTCCACGGGCAATATCTGGCCGTGTGGCTAGATATACTTACGGCATTCAAAGCTGGCCTATGTTTAATGATCGATGCCATCCTGAATCAAAGAGAGTGATGGTAGGATCAACAGCTCGATGCAGGGATGTGTTTTTCAAATTCATTGAGATTGGACAGCAGGTGACTCCAGGTCACAGAGAGGCACAAGTGTTCCAGGTTCTCAATCCCGCAGAAAACTCACTAGAATGTACAGTGTTTGCCTCCACAGAAAGAGACCCAGCATTTGTAGATGATGCCAGCTGCAGTCAGCTTGGAATACTGACAGTGCCTTTCTCCCGACCTGCCAATAGTACTCGGGCCGTGGAGATAGAGGAGACGCTGATATTCGGGGAGACAGAGCTGAGGGTCAAGGCCAAGGACCTGGCCACTGGTCAAGAGTTTGAGGCCAGCCTCAACCTTCTGTAAGTAAAGCTACAAAAAAGGATGATCAAATTAAATAATTTCCTTGTCCTGATAGAGTAGAACATCATTAATTAACCCTTTCACCACTGTAGACCATAATGGACTCATCCAGATCAATGTATGGTAGAGTCTACTAAAGTTATATATAGGGGTAAAAGGGTTAATATAGCAACCTTCATTCCCAGTCAATTTGTTTGATTTTCTATCTGTGACTATAGTTCAGAGAGAGAAAATTTCATGGAAAATATGGCTCCATAGTGGAACAACAATATTAGTATCTATAATGAGAGAATTGACCTCAGCATGTGTTAAAGATACATATATCCCACATTGGGGCACTCAGTGACCTACCGGTATCCTGTTATGACGTCGAAATCAGATTGATTTAAAAAAAAACTCGTCAAAACATCGTTTTTATTGACTGTCTGTGGCAATCTTGCTGTCAGCAAGAGACACCACCTCAAGAACATAAAAATTGATATCAAAGTATTCCTTTTTACACAAACGATGTAGGTATTAAACATGTCGAAACGTTTCAAGACCGACTGGTCCCTTTGTCAAGCTATGACTGACATGGCTCGACAAAGGGACCAGTCGATCTTAAAAATGTTGCGACACCTTTAATACGTACATCATTTGTGTAAAACTTTGATATCACATATTTCCGAACTGATGAATCTTATTGAAGATAACATAACAATTGTTGTACAAATTTCCCCTTAAGGTTTTGCATGGATCGATCTTTAAATCTTGGGTACAGTTTACAGTAGTTTGTTTTCAGCTCCTCCTAGATATGGCCTTGGTTTATATGTATACACTATCTAGTAATTTTACAATATATTTTAGTATTGCATTTGCATTGCCTTTACGCTGTTTTACCAAACTTTGGGTTAAGAGGTGGGAGAAAATATAAATCATTGAGGCTTTGCCGAAGTTCTGACACCAGTTCTGCACCTGAGGTTAGAGTATCCATATACCACATACATGTGCATTTGTACCTATATATGATAGACTATTATTAGTAGCAAATAGTACAGGGACCTGACAGTTTATCACCGTAGCTTTGTTCATGTCAACTCTCCATATGCCCCACTCTTATTAGTAGCAAATAGCACAGGGACTGGACAGTTTATCACCGTAGCTGTGTTTATATCAACTCTCCATATGCCCCACTCTTATTAGTAGCAAATAGTACAGGGACCTGACAGTTTATCACCGTAGATTTGTTCATGTCAACTCTTCATATGCCCGACTCTTATTAGTAACAAATAGCACAGGGACCTGACAGTTTATCACCGTAGCTTTGTTTATATCAACTCTCCATATGCCCCACTCTTATTAGTAGCAAATAGCACATGGACCTGACAGTTTATCACTGTAGCTGTGTTTATATCAACTCTCCATATGCCCCACTCTTATTAGTAGCAAATAGTACAGGGACCTGACAGTTTATCACCGTAGCTTTGTTCATGTCAACTCTCCATATGCCCCACTCTTATTAGTAGCAAATAGCACAGGGACCTGACAGTTTATCACTGTAGATTTGTTCATGTCAACTCTTCATATGCCCGACTCTTATTAGTAACAAATAGCACAGGGACCTGACAGTTTATCACCGTAACTTTGTTTATATCAACTCTTCATATGCCCGACTCTTATTAGTAGCAAATAGCACAGGGACCTGATAGTTTATCACTGTAGCTTTGTTCATGTCAACTCTCCGTATGCCCGACTCTTATTAGTAGCAAATTAAATAGCACAGGGACCCGACAGTTTATCACTGTAGCTTTGTTTATATCAACTCTCCATATGCCCGACTCTTATAAGTAGCAAATAGTAAATAGTACAGGGACAGGACAGTTTAGTTTATCACTATAGCTTTGTTTATATCAACTCTTCATATGCCCGACTCTTATTAGTAGCAAATAGCACAGGGACCTGACAGTTTATCACCGTAGCTTTGTTTATATCAACTCTCCATATGCCCGACTCTTATTAGTAGCAAATAGCACATGGACCTGACAGATTATCACTGTAGCTTTGTTTATATCCCGTAGCTTTGTTCATGTCACCTCTCCATATGCCCGCCTCTTATTAGTAGCAAATCGCACATGGACCTGACAGTTTATCCCCGTAGCTTTGTTTATATAAACTCTCCATATGCCCGACGCTTATTAGTAGCAAATATCACAGGGACCTGACAGTTTATAACTGTAGATTTGTTCATATCAACTCTCCATATGCCCGACGCTTATTAGTAGCAAATATCACATGGACCTGACAGTTTATCAACGTAGCTTTGTTTATATAAACTCTCCATATGCCCGACGCTTATTAGTAGCAAATATCACAGGGACCTGACAGTTTATAACTGTAGATTTGTTCATGTCAACACTCCATATGCCCGACTCGTATTAGTAGCAAATAGTTCAGGGACCTGACAGTTTATAACTGTAGATTTGTTCATGTCAACTCTCCATATGCCCGACTCTTATTAGTAGCAAATAGCACAGGGACCTGATAGTTTATCACTGTAGCTTTGTTCATGTCAACTCTCCATATGCCCGACTCTTATTAGTAGCAAATAGTAAATAGTACAGGGACCTGACAGTTTATCACTGTAGCTTTGTTTATATCAACTCTTCATATGCCCGACTCTTATTAGTAGCAAATAGCACAGGGACCTGACAGTTTATCACTGTAGCTTTGTTCATGTCACCTCTCTATATGCCCCACCCACCCCACCAATGATGATACCATCACTGGCCGGGGGTCACAATTCTTATGGAGTATTGACCTCAACCTTTAATATGTCTACTGTTACTCTCTCCCCATTCAAAACATTGTTTCAAAATGCATGTAGGTTGAAACATACCAACTGTAACAAATTCCCAGGTCCCTGTGGCATATATAGAAACAAAAATAACTACATTTCTTTTATTATCTTGTTAATTAATTCAGGTATATGTATGTCATCCCAACTACATGTTATTTAACTCATGATCGTTCACCCCTGAAATTTCATAATGAACTATTCCAAACTTTGAATTGGAAGAGTTCAAATGTGTCTTTAGGGGTGAATGAGTTAATAAGATCATGCAGTCTTTCCATCATTGTGTTGATTCAGGCATTTAAACTTTGAGGAATAGAAAATGTTGATCATATGCACATTGACTTTGCCTTTGTTAAATATTATTTGTGTTACTAATGATTTTCGTAATTTATGAAATATCAACTTTTCAGTGGGAATGAAATATGATGGCAGCATGCAGGGAACCACCTGAAGATGTACCGGGATTTCAATGCCCTCGACACTTGTATGGGGCTCTCGATCCTTATACCATATACATTGAATATATCAACAATCTTCTCGGCTAGGTACAGACATCAATCTATTGGTCGCAAACTTAACTGAATTTTCAGTAAATTATATTGAGATATAATATTTTTCAGTCAGTTTATTATTTTCTTAGGGGAGTTTTGACAGTTTGACAAAGAAACAAATGAACAGGTTATTAATGTTATATTTGTGACTGTATGAAATTGAGTGGATTTGTTAAATGGACATGTGATATGAATTTACCAAAAAATGTATTGTATGATTGTGTGTGGTACTTATACATGTATTTTGATCGAACACCAAATTTTGCAGTTTTTAGGTACATGTGTATAAATATATGTATTATTTTCATGTCATATTTTGTTGTTGTACATACGTATTTTAAAATCATCTTTTTGCTTAAGAGACAATTTTATTAACTTTTTACACTAATGTTTTCTAATACACAATGAAATTTCCTGTGATAAATCATATACAATTTTGTAATATGCTGTATGTATACAGTTATACAAAATTTCAAAAGATTGAAGATATTTGACATCAGCTATATGCTGTATACTTATATATTACTTTAAGTTTGAATTGTTTAATTTAGTCTAAAAATAAAAAACTTTAATAGGCTTAAATTATTTTGACTGATGACATTGCTGACCATGCACAAATCTACACTATTAATGTCAATCAGTACTGATCATCATTACAAGTAAGTGGCGGTATGGTTACTAATTAATATTCACGTTTTTTATTACTGTCCACATTTTAAAGGCCTCTGTATGTTTGGGGAAAAAATTGGCCTACCTTATGCCACTGCATGATATCTTCAAGAGGCAACTACTGTACATGTCGTGCTTGGAGGCACGGCAGTCTACTGGTAGGACGCCGAGCTCTTGAACGAAGGGTTACGAGTTCGAGTCTCTGCACAGCACCGTGTTGTATCTTTGAACACGATACTTTTCTCCGCTTGTGCCAGTGTACTCATGCAGCTGTAAATGAGTATGTGGTTGGGCAGGACTGGAATTGTAGAATGCTAGCTGTGAGCACCGAAATGGCAGCACCGGCTGTTTGCTCCCCAGGGAGTTGAGAAAGATATTGGCTGGTTGCTTATAAGGCCCTATAACCACGGATAATGATTTGTGAACCGCTTTGAGACGACCTCCGAACTAGGTTGTGATAAAGTGGTATATTAGAACCTCAAATTATTATTATTAGTACATATACAGCTCCTTCCATAGGCGATCTTTTTTTGAGCTTTCAATAATTGAAGTGACACTGAAGAAAACAAAAACTGATTGCTGCCACCACAGTAGGTGTGAGGACCTCTATCTTTACTTGTTTCTTTTTTAGCAGTGTCTCCCTATATGTTCATGTATACCGTATTCATAAAACAATGTATCTAAGTTATATTCACAATGCCTACATCAATTACTTTATTGGTCGAGTTGTTCCAGGACATAAAGTTAAATCAAATATGGAATTTAACAGTTTTCCGTATTTGATTTTTAAACTTTTTTCGAACAACTTGACCAATAAAGTTAAACGATGTAGGCATTGTGAATATTACTTAGATATTTCACTCCGTCTTTTTCAAAATTTGGAAACTAAATTAAGTGTTATTTACTGTAGTGGTTGTACTGAAGAGTGGTACACGTACTACTGATGGAGTTTAAGTGTTATGAAATTCCAATAAACAGTGAACCAGACAAGCTATACTGTGTTGTTATGAACTATGATCTTGCTGCCAGTAATATAGGGACAAAAGTGTAATAAAACAATGGCACATTGAAATCAAGTGTTCTCATTCCCTTGATAAGAAGTACATACCTTTGAAGTTATGGTATGGTGTATTATTTATCTGGCCCTCCACCTTTTTAGCCAACCATCATCCGATGGTCGGCTGATCAAATCTCCCTTCGTCTGTACTCCGGCCATCGTACATTTCCCTCTGACCTTAAACAATTGTTATCACTAGATCTCAGAGAGTACGAAACAGATCTTTCATAAAGTTGATATGTAATGTCTCCATGGTCCATAGATGTATGTACATATGTGATTTTGGGACTGATTGGAAAAATAAGATGGCCACCAGATAGCCATCTTGGAGTTTGGGAAGTCAAGTTTGTTATCCCTTTTTCTCAAGAAATAAACAATGTCTTCACTGTAAAAGAAAACTCTTAAACCCAGCAACATGAAATTTTATTCAAAAGTTAGCACGTGATTTCCTGTAAACAAGTCTTATCAATCCAAGTGATAAGAGAAATGAGGGGAAAAGTTAAAAACTTGCAGATCTTATGATGGTGGATGCAAAGATCTGTCTGAGATCTCTTGTTTCTATGAACAATTACTTCTTCAAAATTGAAAGACACCTAGTCCTGATATTTGGGTAGTATAGTACATATACCTTGGATAAAGTGCTGAAAGGATTTCTGATCAAATTGACTTTGACCCACTTTCAAGGTCATAAAGGTCAAAATCTCAAAGCAACATTATCTAAAGCTTTGTTATCTTTTTTGGTAAAAAAGCAATGCAATACTTTTCTTGTATGTTATATGTTGAGGTCAAAAGTAAACTTTAAATGCTTCCAAATGTCAAATGGGCTATAACGTGTAAAAGGCTCAAGAACCTTCTTTTCAAGTTCCACAAGTCCCTGTGTCATGATGTTAAGGTACAATGTACCGTGGATTAATTGAGTGCTGTAAACTATTCATATGAATTACCTCAACCTATTTTCTAGGTCATAGAGATCAAATTTTTTATTTATTAATATTCAAATGACATTATCTAAAACATCATACGGTCCAGAACCATGCAACTTCGCGAGCCAAGGCCTATGGTATTGAACACCCTTGGCTCGCGAAGTTGAGAACCATGATACTTGCATATGTTACATACCCGGTAGTTATATGTACATGTATGTAGCCCAGCATTGCAATTTCCCCCCTGACATATTGTGTTGAGGTCAAAGGTGAACATTAAGGAGGCTCCATCCTTTCGCAATTAGTCATCAGAATTCAATGAAAGTTTCACATGATGGTTATGTCATTATGTAGAGATGATTTTATGAAAATCTAAGCATTCTGATAACCTGGGGATTTTTTTTGTAAAAAATACTGAAAAATTGATTTTTTGTCAAATTCAACACTTTCACATTTTTTGAGCATGTGGCATTGTTCAAAACTATTACAACAATAAAATAATGAAAAGAAACATTGCTAATCAACCCTACAAATATTTTATTATAAAATATTTACAATATGTTACAAAAAGCGTTTTTTATTGAAACTATATTGATAAAAGTTACAAAATACAAGCCAAAAGCAAACTGGACACATAGTTTCATACAAAAAGAGTGAAAAATTGAACCAAATACACACAAAGTCTTTATAATTAATTTATTTTACATTTTACAATTAGTTTGATCCAGATGAGGGTTGTCTACCTTGAAAAAATTCGGAACTTTTTGCAGGGGGATAGAATTTATACAATGACACTTATTTTATTTAATATACCAAAAACGACGGAAATAAATTAAATGACTATATTTATTTGTCAATTTACTGTTCTTTTATGGAACAAAATTACTCTCAATCATGTACACTTTGGACATCATTCCATAGCCTGCTTACGCATGGTATATTAACATGTCAGGTACATTAATATTGATATGTAACCATAGCTATAGGCTATCGCATGCATGGTATATGCCGTTATTACGTGCACGCACATCCACTTGCATTTTATAGGGATCTTGATAGTTATTGTAATTGCATTTGTGAAATGATTTATCTAACAGAGCGTAACGTTAACTCGCTCGAGAACAAAAGTCGTAGCCTAGCGACCCCGAGCTTATGAACTACTGTATGTCAGCACGTGCTATGTATATAGGCGAGGTCGGTAAACAAAACACATCAGTCGTTTAATCTTATGTCAGTGTATTCCCGTGAGTTAATTAATGTCTTTGTATCATAAGCTTTATTTCTGAAGCACGTGTGATTACACATTTCCAAATTGAAGTCTCGATATCGGGTGTTGACATATCACCGTCACGCACGTGTACTATTGTTTACCCAATGTTACTATAATTTACACTACGCAATACGGAAATGACGACACAAAAAAATCAACAAAGTTATTCAACCAATGTGTCGGATTCCACAGGGTGTCCAATAAGACAGATTTCAATGGACAGACACATTTCACCTGTTCAATTTTGCGAATCAATCTTTCGTTAGATTTCTTGTTATCTTGAATATCGGTCTTATGGTCTTCTATTTTCATTATGTACATGCTCGCCATCTTGATTCAGCACTGCATGCTTGATTATACCACCCTCTGCCGAGTGTGCATTTCCATGAATTAATTAGAAGAATTGAAAAGAATCGTGTAAACGTTAATTCAGAAAGATCGCTTCTATTCCTGATTCCGACTGTTCCCAATTACACTCATTAAACGTGAAGGTAGGCAAAATAGATGAAGATCATGAAAGATAAGCTCAAGTTGCCAATTGTGTAATATCTTTTCAATTCTACTAATTAACTCATTACTCCCCAGAACCTAATGATCCCAGACCCTGTAAACAAACTTATTTTAGCAGTATAGTTATTTCTTACAACTCTACATCTGTCCGCTGCCAGGTTCAACATTTTCCCTCACGGAAATATTATACAATTCATCATGTGTAATTATTAGCTAAAATAAGTATGTTCCCAATCAAACCAAAGACAGCGATAATTTTACAAAATTATAACACAAAGACATGGAATTTGACGTAAATGGCTCACCGCCGAATTTATTAAATCATTTGTTGTTTTTATTTTGATTAATTTTAGGTTCCCCACTGGTTCTCGGGAGGGGTGGGGGGTCACTATGACCTCAACGTGACCTATTCTTTGACCTTTGACCTTAACTTTTGAAAAAGTTTGTCCGGGCATATCTTCTGTATTATTTCATCTGGATTAACCAGATTTGGTGTACAATGATATCTTGGGTTGGCGGAATACAGAGTGCAAGACTAAGATTACTGACCTATGACTTGACCTTTGACCTTAAGTTTCGAAAAAGTTTGTCCGGGGCATATATATATATATATCTTCTATGCTTTTTTCACCCGGATTAACCAAAACTTGTGTACAATGACATCTTTGGATAGCGGAGTGCAAGAAGTAGGTCGCTATGACCTATGACCTATTACTTGACCTTTGACCTTCACTTGTGAAAATGTTTGTCTGGGGCATACTTCACTGTGACCTATGCGTCCTGACATAAGTGTACTGTTCGTTAAATATAGAAATCATTACCGGTGGGGGAATATGAATTGCCGTGCAATACTTTACCTTGTTTTTAACAATTTCTCTTTTAAGATTTTACTTTTTGCTATTCTTTGACAAAACAACCAAAGATACATCAGAATATGCTGGAGAGCAGGCTACCCAACCCTACCCCCATTTAGGAGGAGGGAGGTAGGTTTTCCTTAGGCTCTGACCAGCTGGCAGTGTTGTCTCACCTCTGATCGTGCCCACAGTTAAAGCCAATTACATAATATTCTATCAAAATTGCTCAGTAGTAATTAAACATGAATGATATAAATTTATACAGGATTACTGGCTATATAACTTAAATAACATGTAATTGAATAGTATGGCATGGATTACATGAATACTGACTAAATAAACTTGGAAAAATTAAATGTTGTGGGCAAATAAGCAGTTATTTTCAACAATCACTTGGCCCAATAAAAATAAAAAAATACTAAAACACTTTCCTTCAGCCAGTGAATAGATACATGAACTTCAGTTGTTTCAAATTTACAACCTACGGTATTCCGTAATTTTAAAGTCAAATGTTCTTAAGTCACTTGGTTTTTGCTTTCTTGTTGGTACGAATTAGAACATTTCTCCTTCTCAAGTTACAAATTCAGCAGCATTTTGGTGTTCAGGTAAAGATCCTGTAGGTAGCAAGTATTCAGGGCACGTGTTGTAATGTACTGAAATGTAAAATAAGGAGGATTGTAAAAACCTTTGTTAAACATTAGCTTATGACAGGATATTCAGTGTTTAACTTCAGTGTTTAACACTTTGGTCAGGCTTACATACTCGTCATAACACTAATTCATAAAGTGAAAGTAATTAATTAAAATTAGAGATAACATCTTTATTCGACAGATTTTGAAAAAAACCCATTAAAATGTATCAATCGGGTATGAGAGTACATTCATATGCATCGTATATGCAGAATATTATACAATTGCTACAAATGTATCTATATTCAATTAACCTTACCTTAAACAATAGACTGGCGAAGTCCAATCTGATCACTAGGAAACTTGTTGCTGAATCTTGATCCAATGTATGTTGATAAGATCATCTCACCATCGTATCATCTTCTGTAAGGAAAAGCTCTAGTCTGTCGTGGCTATGTCCATGTGTAATCTGTGTGGGTGGTGGTCCCAGGTCTAGTCTGTCGCGGCTATGTCCTTGTGTAATCTGTGTGGGGGATGGTCCCAGGTCTAGTCTGTCGTGGCTATGTTCTTGTGTATTCTGTGTGGGTGGTGGTCCCAGGTCTAGTCTGTCGCGGCTATGTCCATGTGAATTCTGTGTGGGTGGTGGTCCCAGGTCTAGTCTGTCGTGGCTATGTCCTTGTGTATTCTGTGTGGGTGGTGGTCCCAGGTCTAGTCTATCGCGGTTATGTCCTTGTGTATTCTGTGTGG